CCCTGCCCCCGGCTCTTAGCTCCCCCCTGGGTTTCCGATCACCGTCAGTGGCAGGGGGCTTCTTCCGTCCTTTCCCTTTCGCCTCCCAGCATTGTGCCTACATATGCAAATTAGCCTTCATCTTTGTTGGTGGTTAACCGCCATCTTGGCTGGCAGTTAATTTGCATATCGCCCTGATTAGCCAATGGGAAGGGTAGCGGTCGTACACTAATTACCATGTTTCTCTTTTATTAGATAGGATTGTCAGGAACAAGATAGGTATGCCCACTGCTATCACTTAACATTGTCAGGAAAGCACTAGTCAATGCAGCAAAATTAGCTGATGGAATAAATAAGATGTAACAAAAAGGGGGATGAGAGGCACATAATTTTTTTACTGATGAAATAATTGCATACTACAAAGCTAACACTGTATTAAATGGAGAACTGTTGGACCAGGGGCGGGGACAGAAGTCTGTATAAGTCAGCTCCCCTCTGGCTCTGGGAGCACGGTTTCCCTTTCCACCAAGACTGTTTCCCAGGCTGGAGCTGAAGCTGAAATACAATGACGTCTTGTAGGAGCAGAATGGGGCGGACCAGACCAGTGCAGGGCAGCCGGGGCCCTGTGCTGTTTTCACAGCCCTGCTAGGTCACAACGGAGTGATTTGCAGTAAATAGTCTCCTTCTTCTCTACACCCCAAAATAGTTATTCCTGTGGGTGTTGACTAAATGACCATCAAGGCATTGAATAACTAATCAAGAAAAAAAGATTTTAATGAAATGTGCTTTTTTGTGCCCCAACAGCTATAACTTGCTGTGGCTCCTCAAGATGTCCACCTTAGTCTTAGGATTCGGCCTGGTTTTATTTATGTTCAAAAGTATGTACTTTCATGAAGAGTTCAGCCTCCAACCAGTGCTCCCTCATCCCGATCCGGTGCTCCCTCGTTCCAATCCGGCTGCCCAGATGCCAAAGCTTCTACCCGAGGAACGTCTCCGGTCCCTCTTTTCCTACGATGGAATCTGGTGAGCTATCACGCGTTTCTCTCCCACCTTGGCCTGACAGCTCCCTTGCTCCTCCTGTGGTTTGCTCTGCTCTGTTGTGCCCATTTTACAGATGATTCCCTACCTTCCTGACCTGTGTTGGTTGTTCAAATGATTCCCTACTGTGGGACCAGGAGAGGGCTTGGTCTCCAGGGCACAGCCTCTGTTCTCTGCAACACTCAGTCAAGTCCCTTAAAACCTTGGGGGGCCCATTTAACTGCCAGTTCTTTGTCCCTCCAGCCTCCTCTGCTGGTGGAGCTGAGATGCCACTGGCATTTCTGTGATTCTCAAGTTTAAAGAAGTTTGGTGCAGGGGATAAGTCAAGAGAGTGGCCCTTCTTCCCATTCCCAGCTCCTTCCCCTCCCTGGGTCTTGGTCAGGGGCCTCTGCTAATATTCCAGGACAGAGGGTCTGGGAAAGGCGGTTTCTCAGAGGGACACACGTGGGATAAGGTCTCAGGTTCCCCCTCACTCATCAACCCCCCTCCTCCCACCCAGTCACGTTCACAGTCTTCTTGCTTGTTTTAGGCTGTTCCCGAAAAATCAGTGCCATTGTGAAACTAAAGGCCAGGGCTACAACTTTGAGGGTGCCTATGGCCAGAAAGACCTCCCTGCAGTGAAAGCGAGGAGACAGGCGGAATTTGAGCACTTTCAGAGGAGGTAATGTAGACTGCCAGGGCTCTCGGGTCCCGAGGAGGAGCAAAAGCTCTACTTTGTCCTGAGGGTATGGGTTCAAAGAGAGAAGGAAGGAGCTCCCTCTCTTGCAAGGGTGCCTGGGAGGAACTATTAGGAATAAACCTAGAAAAGAGAATGGAGGAAATAGCCCTTAAATGAAGATTTATAAACTTTGCATGCATCAAACATCTATACTAATAAAAGCCTAGGTGGTGTCAAGCCCTCGTGCATGATGTCATCACAAGATGGCCGCCACAAAGATGGCCGCAAGATGGCCATGTGCACAGCGGAGGCGGGGGCCCGGCGGCCACTCTACGCGGTGAGGCCTGGGGGTCCTGCAGCTCTGTGCAGCGCGGAGGAGGCCAGTCCCAGTGTCTCCGCCGCCTTGCTCAGAGGAGGCAGGTCCCAGCGGAGGAGGTGGGTCGCGGCAGGGGAGGGCAGCTGGGGGCGATCGGGCCAGCAGGGGAGGGCAGTTGTGGGCAATCAGGCCAGCACAGGAGGGCAGTTAGGGGTGACCGGGCCTGCAGGAGAGTGATCAGGCCAGCAGGGAAGGGCAGTTGGGGGGGATCGGGCCTAAACCGGCAGTCGGACATCCCCCAAGGGGTCCCAGATTGGAGAGGGTGCGGGCTGGGCTAAGGGACACCTCCCCACACTGCACGAATTTTGTGCACTGGGCCTCTAGTAATGAAATAATAGCATTTGTGATTGAGGACTTTAACTTTGGAACAAGCTGGGTGCCAAGTTACTTAACCTCATAGCACTTCAGTATCTTATATAAAAAATTATAATAGACACCTCCCTCCAAAGCTTATTGTGGGGGGAGCAGGAGGTCCTAATATAAGGTGACAGAAGATTTAACTTTGGGTGATGAGCACATGGTGCAATACACAGATCTTGTAACACAGAAACCCACACCTGAAACCTATATGTTCATGTTGACCAATGCCCCCCTCCAATCAATTTAATTAATAAATATTTTTAAGAAGCTTATTGTAAGGTGAATTGTATTAACATACAGAGAACTAGTAACTCAAAAAGGACCTGACATATAAAAGCACTGCAAAAATATTACCTACTATTATTGTTGTGATTTATTATATCATCATTCTTTTAAAAAAGTTTTTCATGTATTGATCTTAGAGAGAGAGAGGAATGGAGAGGGGAGAGAGAGAGAGAAACATTGATTTGCTCCACTTATTTATGCATTCATTGGTTGATTCTTGTATATGCCTCAGATCGAACCTGAAACCTTGGGAGATCAAGATGACCTTACATAGCCCTTACCTTTAAACTTTAATGAAAAGGTAGTTGTTTTTAAAGTTGCATTTCCCTGAGTAATATTGAAGCTGAGCATGTTTCATATATTTATTTTCCATTTGCATTTCCTCTTTTGATTGCCTAGTTAGGTCCTTTTCCCTTTTTAAATGTTGTCTTTTTCATATTCCCATAAATACTCACTCCAATAGTCTGATCTCTCTTCCAGGTAATCTAGGTGGTGGTGTCTTTGGTTAAACTGGGTCCCTCAAGGCTACATTTCAGCCGTGTTACCTTAGTCCAGTGGTTCTCAACCTTCTGGCCCTTTAAATACAGTTCCTCATGTTGTGACCCAGCCATAAAATTATTTTCGTTGCTACTTCAGAACTGTAATGTTGCTACTGTTATGAATCGTCATGTAAATATCTGATATGCAGGATGGTCTTAGGCGACCCCTGTGCAAGGGTCGTTCGACCGCCAAAGGGGTCGAGACCCACAGGTTGAGAACCGCTGCCTTAGTCCCTCAAAGAGCCAATCTCACTGGATTGTGTTATGCACTTGCCTTTGACTGAAGGTCGTTACAACAACAAAACCATTTGAAAATCATCACTGTGTTTGCTCTGAAAATATGGGGACGACAACCACTCGCACACACAGTTTCCTGTGATACGCTTCATGTTTTGGTGCAGAGCCAGGAAAAGTTTGGCTTCCCTTCAGGAATTGGTCTCCTTTGCCCCTTTAAGAAGACCCGAGTTCTGACAATCATGTTATACCCTGGCTACCAGGTGACTTTAAATGAAATCATTAAAACCACAGGCGACGTCGGTGTTCAGCTGCTGCAGCTGTGCTGGCCCCTACAGTCTGGTTATTTTGTTTCTTCTTTTTTGCTGGTCATGATTTTTGTTTTTTGTGTGCTTTGTTGTAAACTGCTCAGTTCGTTTGTGGAGTGAAGAGGCTGGGCGTCATGGAGGAGGGGAGGACGGAGGGGAGATGGTTACAATCTACTTTCCATTTCTCCCCATTGGCAGCCCAAGGCTGGGGCACAGGCACCTCTTTAAGAACTAACCTGGGAAGGGAGTCAGGGCAGCTGTTAACAGTTCCTTTTCTCTGCAGGGAAGGGCTGCCCCGCCCGCCGCCCCTGCTGGCTCCGCCCAACCTCCCCTTCGGGTACCCGGTCCACGGGGTGGAGGTGATGCCCCTGCATACAGTTCCCATCCCAGGTAGGTCCGCCCCATCCTGAGTGGACTTCGCCAACTTTCCTATTCCTTCTTCAGCAAAAGAGGGAGCAATCATTCATTGAGCACCTGCTGGGTACCAGCACCAGGCAAAAAGTTTGAAATGATTTCATTTAATGTTAATATCACTGTTTCCACCACTGGAGATCACCCTTAGTAGCTGTGACCTCCCTGGGGCTATGAGATGACACCGAAGAGGACAGATATCTGTGAGCCTCAAGGAATCTTAGGACATAATTGGCTTTTTG